CTTCTGTTCCTAACTTGAAGGTTACTGGAAAAGTTATTCATGAGAAACAATACAACATGCAAATGCATCACAAAAGCAGAGTTCACCTTATTCGCCCAGCTTTCATAACTTGTATCAGGAGTTGGTAGAGTAACAAGTAGTTCGGACGCAGATAGTAATTCAAAGTTCTAAACCGGCTCAAAACTAAAATTTCTCTTTCTAGAATAATTCAAAGATAATATGCTGACTTGAGATGTTCTGCAAAAACTAGGAGTTCAACTGGACAGTTTGCCATCAATTTTTCCAAATCCACAGTCTTTTTAATGTGTAATATCACAGCTCTGTCCCTGAAACAACTCCAGAATCTTGAAGGTATTTACCGAAAATAGACTTCTATGGCGTTCACGTTGTATTAGTTCCAGAAGAGAAAAGTATGTAGTACCAAAGCAACCACATGTACATACTCACTATACATACAAGCGCATTCAAAAAATGAAGTATTTCAATATTAAAAGCAGTTTTCTTATATTTAAAACAAATTCTTGTAATTTCACTCAAATTTTATTTTGTGTAATCACAATGACAATGTTTTCGAATCATTCGATAATATTAGATCAGAGACATGAGAAATCTAAGAAATGCATAAGAGGAGGCTAAAATTGATAATGCACTTCCTGTTTCTTATAACATCTCGCGCAGTAACATTCTGTTGGAAGCTGGAAGAAAAGTATGTTCTCTATGCGCAGAAAGTACTCTCCTTTTTGTAGGCTTTATACCAGTTAATTTGCTAAGGCGAATGTTTACAGTCTTTCTGATCCTTGGCGGTTCATTGAACGCCTGCACCTCGGACAAACGGACGCGATATAAGTTTACTGTACTCAACTTCACCGCCTCCTCTTACGAACTAGAGCACTAGTCAGGGTTGAACTATTTTTTCGTAATATCTCGAAACAAATTAAGGGCGTTGTCTTTGCAGTTGGACCCTATGGCCGTCTGTAGAGCCGTGCATCTTGGTTCTATCAAGGCCCTCTCGTAGCAGACAACTGTAAAAGAGTGTTGATTGTGCTTCTCTCGCAAATCTTATCATATTTGGCTCAGTTTTTGACTAGATGGAAAAAGACAATGATGGGATGTCAGCTGTTTAGGACGAGCAGTTGTAATCAAAAGCAGAGAAAACCTCCATACGTTACCTTCGTCTGCCTGTTGCGGTGTTTCCATCTTGAGGACCCAAATGCGCAGCTCTGCGGACAGCCGTAGCCTTCGGGCACATACACAACTATTCAGATATTTCTTATTCCGTTTCGAGCTAGCACAGTACGAATTGAGGATGAGAGATAAGAGCGCTCCTGATTTGTCTGAGGCGAATCGAGTGCAGCTTAGATTTCAGATTAAAATTTCTTCCGAACTTTGCCTCTGTGAAGAAGTTTATAAAAAAAAGGGGCGGAGGGAGGGTGGGTGGGGAGTTTTACGGCGATGAGCATAACACAGTTTCTGCCTTAGAAAGGCTGAAATGAGTTTGTTTTGAAGTCCGACACAATTTAATCAGGCAGATATTTCAGTTTTAGAGTTCTTTGGAAAAATATAGTGGAAGTCAAGAACGCGATGAATGTTAGAAACAGAGGGCATTCTGTCGGCCAGTTGACTAATTATTAAAGCGCATTCATTGAATTTTCTCATTTTTTCAATGTTATCGAAAGCAGCCAAAAACATCTGTATTACGAGATGCACGAGATGCATTGCATCACATATGGGATAGATTGTAGAAGAGTTCGCTAATGGAGAAGTGAAATGTTCCGAAAATTGTTCTCATTCACGGCTTAGACAACATTACTTTCTCACCTTGCTCTAGACCATGGTAGTGACCCACGAAGCTCAACGAGCATATAAAGCAGGCACCATAAATCGTCATCGCGACCTTGCTCTCCTTTTTCGTGCGTGTTTATTGAGCAATAACGCAATGTCCCTCTGAATCATAGTATAAATATTAGGTGCTTGCTTGCTTTCGTGGAATTCCAAATTTGATGTACCTGAAGTGAACCTTCTTCCGCGGTCTACGCATCTTTGGTGGGTCTTTGTATGATGTGACGATGTATTCTCTTGCTAAGCCAAAATCAAAAATATGAACAAATCGGAAATATGGCGTGCCGACGGGTCCAACAGCCATGTTTGCAGGCTTCAAATCACGATGAATGAAGCCATACTGAAAAGAATAATTCTGAATCAACATTCCTCCCAATTTCTTTCATTCACATCTGAACAATGATTTATAGGAGATTGTCATGTAGGTAACGTACATCATGAAGTTGTTTTATCGCATATAAAGCGTTGATTCCTATACGCACTTGAGTGGAGATACTACATATTCTTCCATAGTACCTAAGATCGCATTCTATGTGTCGAACATTGCGGTGTGGAAAAATGATTTGACAAAAGACTAACTTTAATATTTTATTTAAACTTGGTCCTAATAAGCTCATTATTACATACGAGTATGCAGGCTTTTTCCCTGACGCTAAAAGCTGGGGCACGAAAGGGCAGTCTTCAAGCCTTCGCAGAACCTAAAATGTATTTGTTTGCTTGAACTAATGAAAGAAATCGTTTCAGAATGAGTCACCTTAACTTCTAACTTCAAAACGCCATGCTCTCGGGCTTCAATCTTAAAAGCACCCTAAAAGTGAACTGTGAAATATCTCTGTAATCCGATGTTAGCTTTTGTATGTGAGGGACTCTTGCACTTACTACTGTCACGGTACACCTAAGTGCGACAAGGATGTGGTGTTACTGATCGCTAACTTTTCGAAATTGGACGTGACTAATTCTCTTTATCACATATTATCTTGAACTAAGAAAACTCCTGGCGAGCGTAAAAAGCCACCCAAAGTCCAAATACACCTCACATTTCCTCATTCTCCCCTCGTCTTTGCCGAGTAAAGGAGTATTTACTGCCATATGCCTCGTCCTCGCTGACAACTGATGCATTCAGAATTGCAATCTTATCACATTAAAGAGAGTGGAATAGCGTGATTAATATAAAGATCCTCGGATTAAGTTAACAAGCACTTGAGATCCCTCCATTTAGGACAATGTGAAGACGGATAGTTGACCACGGGGCGGGGCTTCCTGGAAGAATAGTCCTTACCCCATCCACATTGGATTAGCCCCGCAAACCACTTCCAAGACAGAGCAGACTTAGTGCTTCTTCAAACAGAACGTTTATGCTGTAGATAAAAGGGATGCCAAGACGCGACCGACATTTTCGAAAAGATAAGTAAATTTGAAATTATCTATAACACGAATCTGCGCGCAGTTGTGGACCATTAACGAACCTCTAGAGTTCTTCTCATTCAAGTCATGTTTCTTAACCCTTCATTCTAAAGTTGGCACTTATGCATTAAGATGACACATTTACGCAAGTGTCTACTCGACGATCAAAAGGACTGGTAACACATGCTACTGCACTAAAAGCGAAGCTGATGTTACAAAAATTTTATGACTAAGTGCGTCTCGGCATAGGAATAGCATTTAAACTCCTAAATGGCTTACCAGAGTCCCATCTTCAACGTTAACAACTTTGTAGACTGCACCAAATCCTCCTTCGCCCAATTTCTGCACTATTTTCCATTCCTTTGCAACAATGCTACCTTTTTTCAACCTTTTATTGAAACCTGAATGATCGCGCTAAAACTAATGAACGATCTTTTAAATGCTTTTCTCGATAACGTTTTCATCCTCAACCTTAGGCCCTCTAACATTAAAATATACATGCCTTTATTGATATAAACAAAACTTCTACATCGGTAATTCCAGTGATGAATAGGCATAAAAATTTTCTTAGAATATCTCAAAGTAAGGAATGCAGTTTTTGGACCTAAGAAAGAAGCGTTGAAATTCTATCGCCGGGCTTTGCAGTGTCAAAAGATATTCATTTCATGTGAGTAATGTTGAA